ATTGATGTGTACTGAGCAGGCTCTTGCATTTTGCTGCAGGATGCTTAATTTCTTTCCTCCTCTGAGACAGTACCCAGGCACATGGCAGCAGCCAAACCCTGAACAATCAGGCATCTGTGACTTTGATTCAGATTTACAAAGATATTTATAGACCTATAGATGAAAGATTGAAGGTTTTTTTCCTGCACTGTTAACTCTTATCCCCTGAAGTCTCACATTCCTGTGGCTGTTAAGAAAAGTTCAGCACACAAGGTCTTATTCAAATTCTTGTATACTACCTGGAACCCTTTTGTCTTCTAGCCTATGTTATTGGTTATTTAATTGATTAATCTAAAAGAGTGTTTTGCTTGCAAAAGCAGTAAATGGGTTTTAACAACACTTAGGCTTTTTTGGATAACTTGAGATAATAACATACGCTCTCAAATACCAACCCAAAAGAAAAACATAGTTGATCCTATCTGCTAACAGAGATGTTATCTGCTGCAGCACAGAAAACACACGTGAGATTGCTTGGGCATCTTTGTTGTTAAAGCTGCTTTTCTCCTTTCTGTGCCATAAGTACTCCTGTCTTCACCATCAAAAAATTGAGATTTCACATGCATTCTTTGTTGTTGTTTTAATGTAGGCCAGGGGCTAAATAAAGGTATGTAGAACACTGACTGTGTCCCAATGCATGGGACATCTTGGCCCTTCACTCATTTGTAAGTGAGGCTCATACACAGCTGAGCAGATGAAGGCTGTAAGGACAAGCTTGTCTCACTGTTGCTATAATAGCTCTCTTTATAATTGGTGGTGAGGCCCTGGCACAGGTTGCCCAGAGAGGTTGTGGATGTCCCATCCCTGGAACTGTTCAAGGCCAGGCTCAATGGGGCCCTGAGCAAACCTGGTTAGTGGGTGGTACCCCTTTCCATGGCAGGGGTTTGCAAGTAGATAATCTGTAAGGTGCCTTCCAACCCAATGATGATTACATGATAATACAGAACAGTGACTTCTACTAAATACTTTCTGCATTAAGACAATGATTTCTTCCTGTAAGAGCACACAAGGTAGTTGGTCTGTGTTGTATCACTTATGTCATGGCAAATTTGCTGCAACCAGTTATTTTATTCTAATAGTTAATTATTCTCACTGTTCATGTAGATTTTTTTTTTCATCAAGGCTGCTGGAAGGAAATATAAAACCTCACTCTCTGTCTCTGTGCAGCTGGGATCAGCTTCTGGCCACAGCATCACCAGGAAAAAGAAGGAAAAAAAGAGGAGATTCTTTCCAGAATTAACTTTCCAGATTAACTCTGGAAATTTTTAGAATCCTTCCATGAGTAGCAGTGTGTAGAAACCTCATTGAACGGACAAAGTGAGGTCCTGTACCTGCCTCCACTTGTGACTTACCTGGATGGCAACAACTTTAGAAGTTGCCCAATGCTCCATCCCAGAAGGGGAATCATGCTTGTGCCTCAAGGCAGTATCTGCCATCTTAAATTGGCACTGAGACCCACTTCCCCTCTTTTATTAGCAAGCATTAGATTAATAATTTTGTGAGTGAAATGCTGATCTCCTCAAGTCTGGAGAAGTCATGCTGTTCAGTCTGGTATCCTAAGACCTTGCCCTTCAGCTCCACAAAATTAAGGTGGGGGGAGTCTCAACAGCAAACTCCAGCCTGCCATGCATTGACTCTGCTCTTATTCCTCCTCTAAGCAACTTCCTTTTGCTTATTCTGTCCTGTAGTCATCCGGGAACATCAGGGTTGGGGTGTTTGATGAAGGTTCATACTTCACTCTGCAAGTACTTTTGTCAAAAAAAGCTTTTATTGCAATGCAAAATATCTTCTGTATATGACATCTTTCTCCCCCCCCAACCCCCTTAAATTTAATGAGTAATCCTTTCTGGGTTTGTACATTGTGATTCCTGTGTGTATGAATGAATATATATACATATCTATATATATCTATCAATCTATAGATATTATATTAATACAATCATATATAAATCTGGACCTATATCATTTTATATATACACGTATCACTAGATACATGTGTGTGTGTGCATATACATATATATACACATTACATATACACTATATACACATATATGCACACACATACATATGGTATAATCATAAACATCTCTTGGTTGTCAAGGGACTTTTCTTTAACAAAATAAGTTCCATCAGTGGATTTTACTTCTGTAGTGCAATTTTACAGGAAGTTAACATTTCCACATTCAATATAAAAGAAACAATATACATTTGAAAACGTGCCATAGGATTTTTAATGAAAAAATTAGAAAAGTGCATTATTTTACAACACTACAGTAAATGATTCCTTTTTTTTTTTTCTCTGTAAAGACATTGTAAAATATATACAGGGTTGCGTAGTGCATTCATTACAAAAGAAAGATGCAATCCCTTGCATAAATTACATATTGTACAGGGGTTCGCTGTCTACTTGGACTTGTAAACATTTGTGTGATACAGTTTTCATTCTTTAAGTAAGCTGCAATACATCTTATTTTCATTTGACTCTTGTTGCATTCTGACTCCAGTACGGCATTCTAAGGCCATATGTGAAGGCATCCTCTCCCATATCGGAGAAGGCCAGAAAAAGAAACGAAAACACAAAAGAGTCTTTAATTTGGTTCTTTGTAATCAAGTTATCACTGGTTTAATAAATCACATCTTGATACTTATGACCTGCTCTTTCTCCTTTGCTAGGACCAGCTCAACAACTATGTTGAAGTTAGAGGTCTGAAATGAGCAGAGAAAACAGTTTCCAGGAGGTAAATTCCCAGTGCAGTCTCCACAGCCAAGCAGCTCCTTTTTCTAGGTGACCATGCTCCTAAGGCTCTGTGTGCTGCACAGAAAATGTATCAACCAGGGTAGAAATTTAGAGAGTTTTGCTCTATCTCAGGCTGTTGAGGGCCTTTAGAATGCCGTCAATACACCGTCGGTAAGTCCGCATATGCACATTCAAAGAAGTACAAAAATGCACCAAAAAGTGTCAAGAGATCCAAAAGAGACATAGCATCAGCACACACTCACAAACACACACATACACACACGCTTCTGCCTGAGCAGGAAGGCTCAGTCTCCAAAGTAGGATTCACAATTTAATTTCAACATGTATGTGTGTTTGGAAGAAATCCAAGAATTTCCATATAAACTCCTTAGGTCCCAAATTGAACACTTTTATCCCTGTTTCTCGTAGATGAACAGTTTGTTGAAGTAAGTAATTGCACCTTGAAGAGACAGTATCCACATTCTTTTGGCCTACTGGAAACACCTGTTAAGCCCCCCTCCCATTCCCCATTGACCTATCCAGCTCCAAATCATCTCCTTTGCCTTCATTTCACCAGGATCAAAAGTTTTAGTCAATACTCCTCAATGGCAACAAACAGCCACACAAATCTTAACAAGTCAAGGGAAGAGGAAAAATAAAACATTTTTTTTTCTTCCACAGTTCACTCCTGACCTTGCAAATAAAAGGACAGATGGATTACTGGTTGTATAGCATACTATAGGAAATTTACATTTTGAAAAAAAAAAAAAACAGATTAGGTTTGCATTCTAAAGAATGATCCATTGCCTCATAATTTCTGCTTATTTCTTAGTTGTCAAAATGTTAGTGGTAGACAGGACTCTTTTACCTTTTTTCAGACAAAATTAACCCCAGTACTTATACCAAAACTAACTTTTTGTGGATGAACAAAATTTGTTGAAGTCCAAAAGAGTAGTGCTCCAAGTGGTACCCAATAAATTACTTAATAAAGCCAATTGTTAGATTAACAGAGTCTTAAACCTCTTGTAACCTGGACACTGGGATCCCTCTCTTGTTATGTGGGTATTACACATCTCCTCCAACATCTGAATAATATTCCTGCCCTAAGAATTTATACAGAAAGTATGTGCCACAATGTGAATGTAGCTGAACTGTTGAAAAGGAGGTAAATTCCCATGAGAAGATCATTAAGTTGTGTTGAGAATATCAGTTGTGTTGGTCAATGATCAACATAGCAGACTCTGCTCTACTAATCTTCCCAAGGGAGTAAAAAGGGCACTGTATCAACGATCAAGAGAAATTTCCTACTGCTGCTTCTGACTGCAGTTTCTCTCCATGCTGGGAGTTGAGAAGATGTGCTAAAAAGGAGCAATATGACACCCATCTTTCCTGAAAAACATATGTGACAGTAATGAATTTTTCAAAGAAAAGAGAAGTCACATGAAATATAAGTCACCATAGAGCAACTGGAGCTTAAACGCTGAGGAACTTTAAGGAACGTACAGTGAAGATAAAAAATCCCAGCTAACTGCATTGCTAAAAGGATCTCATATATATGTCTTTTGCTCCACTTGGCCAATCTTTTGGAAGACAACAGCCAGAGCAATCAGAACAATTTGGCAAGGTTTTGGTAGCCTCAGTCATAGAGAACTGTGAGCTGCCCCCCAGGTCCATTTGGATGACCTGCATAATGAAGAAAAGAGGTCCCCACTGCTGCATGCTGAACAAGAAACGTCAAATCACCACATCCCTGTTCAGAAGGGGTTCTGAGAAGAAGAGCTTCAAATCAGAGAGATGAGATAACTGTGGTAGATAGCTCAAAGGAAACATTAGAAGAAACAGCTACAGATCGATCTGAAGGTGCTGCCCTCCATCACCATCACTATCAACTCCAGGCGAGGAAGAAATCCATCCTTTGCTCTGCCTCTTTTAACCTTGCTCAGAAAGGGTCTTGGAGAAGGGTATGCCATAGCATCAATGTCCTCATCATTCCAGCTTGTGACACAAAAACTCAGCTGTATCCTGCCCATTCCCCGTGTGGTCTAGACGTATTTGAACATGTGTTCAGCAACCTTCCTCCTAGAATCATCATCTGTTCCAGACAGCACAGCTGAGACACTTCAACTATTGCACTAAATAGGAACTAGAACTATGCTCCATCCTGAAATACAGCCCCTTCCACATTCATCTGCATCAGTTTATCTAAGACACAACACCAGTTCTTTACTCTACAGGTAAGACAAATTCAGACCCAAACTCCACAAAGGCATTTAAGCACCTATTTAGCTCAGGGAGAATTAAGAACCTCACTGCATATACTGGATCTGAGCTAAAATCCCTTTCCTGGATGCTCCCAGCACCAGCTCCAGTCAGCATGCCAAGATGATGCTTGTCAGTAGGACAGCTGAGCCATGACC